CACACACACACACACACACACACACACACACACACACACACGTGCGCACACTCACGTGCACGTGCACACACACACACTCTCACTTTCTCTCAAACCGACATACACAAATACATGCACACATACATACGCATACACACGCACGCACACACACATACATACAAACACACATACGCATACACATGCACACACACACACACGCATGCGCACACACATACACACTCTCTCTCTCACTTTCTGTCAAACACACACACACATACACACGCACACACAGACATACGCACACATACATACACACACACAGACGCACATACACATACACACACATACAGACACGCACATACAGACACACACGCACCCTCTCACTTTCTCTCAAACACTCACAGGCACACATACGTACACACACATACACATACATGCACACACACAGACACACGTGCACACACACAGGTGCAGCGCGTGCGCGCACACATCCTCACTTTCTCTCAAACAGACACACGCACAGACGCGCACACGCACAGACATCATACACAGACACACACTCACATGCACACGCATACGCACACACACCTACGCGCATGCACACACATACGCACACATACGTACAGACACACAGACACGCATGCTCACACGCACATACGCACATGCGCACGCGCACATACATACGCACACACGCACGCACGCGCGCACACTCACTTTCTCTCAAACAGACACATGCGCACGCACATACGCACACGCACATGCACATACGCACACGCACATGCACACACATACGCACACATACATACGCACTCACACATACGCACTCACACACGTGCACGCACACACACACAGTCTCTCACTTTCTCTCAGACACACACACACACACGCACCCTCTCACTTTCTCTCAAACACACACCTAAGCGCGCACACACACACGCACACAAATAGACACGCACACCTACATACACACACACGCACGCACACAGACGCACGCACACACCCGCACACAGATATGCGCACGCACACGCTCTCACTTTCTCTCAGACACGCATATACACGCAGACATAAGCACACACTGACACACGCACACACAGACACACGTACACACACACCCTCTCACTTTCTCTCAAACAGACGCACACGCACACACACTCCACTTTCTCTCAAACAGACAGACACACACACGTGCGCACGCACTGACACGCACACGTGCACACACATATACATACGTGCCCACACGCGCACATGCACAAACACGCACGCACATACACACACACACAGCCACACACATACATGCACATACACACA